ATGAGGGTGAAGTGGAATATGAGAAGGTGGATTAGGAAGCAGGATACTGATTGTCTAGGGTTTCTGCATGCTGGTCACAATGGCATAAGCTGCAAGTGTTCCTATAATGGCCAACATCATCTCCTCTATGAAGGTTTGGACATACAGGCATGCTACCCCGTTTGGTTTGTTCCAGCTGCCTCAGATTGTTGAGGAGTCATAGTGATACAGAATGAGGCCATTTGGCCCATCTAGGTCTCTGTTTGACCAATCAATCAGTTATATTCCCCTGCTTTATCCCCGTAGCCTTGCAAGTTTATTATAAATGCACATCCAATTTCTTTTTAAAATCATTCTGCATCTCTTCTTGCACTCTCATAGGGAAAAAATTCCAGGTCATTCACTGTTCTGAGGAAGGATCACCGGACCCGAAACGTTAACTCTGATTTTTCTTCACAGATGCTGCCAGACCTACTGAGCTTTTCCAGCAACTTCTGTTTTTGTTCCAGATCATTCATTGTCATGGAGTCATACAGCATGGAAAAATAATTTCAGTCCAACTAGTCCAAGTTTCCCAAACTAAACTAGTCCCAATTGCCTGTGTTTGGCCCATATCCCTCTAAGCCTTCCCTATTCATGTACCTGTCCAAGTATGTTTTAAATGTTGTAACTGTACCTGCATCTAGCACTTCCTCTGGCAGTTCATTCCATATACGAACAACCCTCTGTGAAAAAAGTTGCCTCTCAGGTCCCTTTTAAAACTTTCTCCTCTCTCCTTAAAAAATATGCCCCCTCACCTAGTTTTGAACTCCCATACCCTAAGGAAAAGACCTTTGCTATTCACCTTATAATTTTATAAACTTCTATAAGGTAACCCCTCAACCTGCTACACTCCAGGGAAAAAAGTCCCAGCCTATCCAGCCTCTCCTTATAACTGAAACCCTCCAGCCCCAACAACATCCTGTTAAATATTTTCTGAACCCTCTCCAATTTAACAATATCCTTCCTATAACAGGGCAACTAGAACTGTACACAGTACTCCAAAAGTGGCCCCACTAAAGTCCTGTACAAACTCAACATGACATCCCAACTCCTATACAGTGGTCTGAGCAACAAAGGCAAGTGTGCTAAACACCTTCTTAACCACCCTGTCTATCTGTGATGCAACTTTCAAAGAACTAAGTACCTGAACCCCTAGGTCTCTCTGTTTGAAAGCACTACCTAGGGTCCTAAAAGTCTCAAAATCTGTGTACCCTAGACCTTGTGCCATCATTTGATGGGAACAGTTTGTTTTTGTTTACCGTGCCTAAACCTGTTATAATCTTGAACACCTCTATCAGATTTCCCCTTGGTCTCCTTTTCTCGAAAGAGAACAACCCCAAGTTTTCTAATGCATATTGTAACTAAAAAACCCCAACCTTTGAGCTATTCTGGTCAATCTCCTCTGCACCCTCCTTAAGAACCCTCACCTCCTTCCTTAACCATAACTGGACACAGTACTCTACTTGAGCCTAAACAATGCTTTATATAGGCTCAGCATAACATCCCTGCTGTTGTACTTAATGGTTGGACTTACAAAGCTGAGTTCTCATGTGCTTTGCTAACCACTCTCTCAGAATGTCATTCCACCTTCAGAATTGATGCACATGCCCCCACCCCCAGCTAGGTCTGTCAGCTCCTACATCCTCTTTGGAACTGCGCCATTAAGTTTACATTGCTTCTCTTTGTTCTTCTAACACTTCATGTTTCTCTGTATTAGCTTGCATGCAGCACATACTTGTCAACTTTGCCAATCTATGACCTATTGCAGTCTACAGGTACCACTTTGTCTTGCAAGAGAGAGGGAAGTGCAAGAATTAATGTGATGAAATATATTTGCATAATGTCGGTATAGAGTATTAGCAGTGTAAGTCTGTAAGGGTGTGGTAGAGTATATGAATGTTGGGTTGAGTCCTGATTGTTACACATTGTTGGTAGGTGAGTGATGGAGGTGTGGTGAATTTAGGAGTTACAAAGGTTTGATTGCTATCTTTGTTCAAGGTGAATTTGTATTCACTGACCTTGACCACTTGTGTGATGTCACCGAACTAGGTGTACCACTCCATCAAGGTCCTAGGCTTAAACTCCTGGCAATGATTTCCACATTATCTCCTCCTGCTCCAGGACCTCATTCCCCTGTATATACAGAACATTTCCTGCCATTTTCATTTCTTCCACTAGTACTTCCAGTGTAGCTTGGAGTGAGCTGTGTCTCATGTTGTGTTATTCTACACTGTTTCCCAGATCAGATTCACTTCTTGTTTGACTGTTAGCGTGTTCTGTAGCCACAATCATGATCTCCTTTAGAAAGTGCAGGTCAGTTTGCAACTTATGGTTTTGATCCCCTGCTGGTATGTACAGGCATTGAGAAACAGTTTTAGTGCTGGCTGCACACAGCAATCATACCAGTGAGCAGGGAGCACAAATTGCCACATTTCAAACAATAGGTATGGGTTGTATACATACCAACCACCCTGATATCTCAGGACGTTTCGTAGCTTGTTCAACATAATGAAAGAAGAAGCTATATTCTTTTTGATTTTAAACTATTGTTTTATCCCTTGCTTTCATTTGATTTTGCTTGACTTCAAATTGCAGAATAGCTCTGTGTTACATTTTATACTCAGCTTTAATTGTCTAGCAATTTTAAGAAGCAGTAGAGAAATGAGAGAATACCTTCAAGGAAAATAATATGTTCCTTCAAGGATCTTAGGATAGCTGAAAGGACTTGACAGCCTTTATGTACTTTGAAGTGTATTCACTTTTATAATGCAAGGTAATGTTAGGAGCTATTATTTTTTTAAAAGGTTGTAATAGGGTACTTGGATAAATTAAGGTAATCAGACAGAGTCAACATGGTTTTGTGAAAGAGAAATCATATTTGACCAATGTGTTGGATTTGAGGAGCTAACATACTGCCGATAAAGGGGAACCAGCCAATGTAATGTATTTATATTTGCAGAATTTGATAAGATCAAAGGTTATTCCAGAGAATAAAAGCGTATGTTGTAGTAGTCAGCACAATGGTATGGATGGAAGATTGGATAGGGATCAGTGCAGGAAGCTCAATTGTTTACAATTTATATAAATGACTTGGATGAAGGGATGGAAGGTGTGATTGCCAAATTTGCTGATGACACAAAGATAGGTAGGAAAGTAAGTTTTGAAGGGAACACAAGGAAGATACAAAAAGATATTGATAGGTTAAATGAATGGGTAAAGACGTGGCTAATGTGGAGAAATATGAAATTGTCCATTTTGGCAAAAAGAATAAAAAGGAAGCATATTATGTGAAAGGTGATGGATTGTAGAGCTCTGAGATGCAGAGAGACCTGGGTGTCCTTGTGTATGAGCCACAATGGATTAGTATGTAGGTGCAGCAAATAATTACGAAGGCTAATAGAATGTCATCATTTATTGTGAGTGAAATTGAATCCATATGTAGGGAGGTTATCCCTCCGTTATATTAGGCACTGGTGAGACCACATCTGAAGTACTGTGTACAGTATTGGTGACCTTATTTAAGGAAGGAAAGAGATGGATTAGAGGCAGTTCAGTGAAGGTCCATCAGACTAATATCTGAATGGGCAGGGGAATCTTAAGAGAGGAGGTTGGATAGACTAGACTTGCATCTATTGGAGTTTTGAGGTGACAATGACAGAAGTGTTACGGTGCAGAAGGAATTTATTTGACCCATTGTTACTGCAATAGCCCACTAAAAGAACACTATTATCTAGTGACAATCTCCTGCTTTCTCTCTTTACCCTTGCTCATTTTTTTTAACCAAACAATCATGTAATGCCTTCTTGAATGCCTATATGTTCTGACTGAAACATATAAGATCCTGGAGAACCTTGACAGGGTAGATGTAGAGAAGATGTTTCTGGTTCTGGGAGAATCTAGAACTAGGGGTCACTGACCTAAAGATCAAGGGTCGCCATTTAAAACAGAGTTTGGCAATTTTATTTCCCCTGAGAGAGTTGTGAGTCTTTGGAACTATCTTTTTGAACAGGAGCTGGAAGCAGAATTCTTCCAAAAGATAGCAGTAGATTGATTTGTGTTAGACAAAGGGTTGAATGGTGGACCAGGTTGAAGGGGCTGAATGCCCTAGTCCTGCCTGTTCATATGTCCATATTTAACAACGCGGTGGTAATTGTCCGGGATGTGGGAAGGCCTTCCAAAGATAAGCTGCTGACACCAGCCTCTCCCTCTGCTTCAAATTCATTGATGCTATAGTTGCTGATGTACACCCCAGCTGTATCTCTGATAATAATGTCTGTATATGCCACCTCTGTTGGAAGTGCACGACCATAAGATTTGCCTCAAGTGTCGTGTTCTTCCTGGTCAAGTAGTTTGCTGACTTTCACTGTGAGGAATGGTGTGATTTCTATTGTAGATAGGACTGTATCTCAGCAAGCACTGAACCTAGAGAGTGAGTAGGGAGACAAAAAAAGTAGAGGAAACTATATGATTTCTAATCCAGTGATCATCCCAAGAGATAAATAAGATATTAAAAACAAAACATTAACTTTCAAAACAACTGTTGTGGCAGAAGTTTTTTTTAAAAAATGTATTTTTGGCAATCGTGGATCTTTATTTGATTCTCTGGAATGTTAAAACATTAAAAAAAATAGAGCATTGAGTATTGCACTCTTAGGTCCTATGTGGAAGGGTTTGGTGGGATGATGAATTATTGCCCATGAATTATTGTGACTTCTTAATAATTGCTTTATCTTTGGGAGATGTCAATCAGAGAAGAGACATGGTCACACATAATGCAGGGCCTAGGAGTAAGCTAGATGCACTGTTAGGTATTTCTAACCAACTGACTTATGAGACAGCTCGAAAACCGGTGATCTGCTCCTCCATCCAGAGCACTGGACAGAGGGCAGGTGAAAAGAAATAACTGAGGAGGAAAAGCGAATAAAGGAGCCAATTATCTGACTCTCTCATAATTAGTTTCACTTTTCTTCTCTCTGTAGTCACACCTGAGGCCATTGGCTTTTTGTCAGCAGTTGGAGTCTTTGTTGTCTTGTTGGCATTGCTCTTCCTCTTCATCAACAAAAAACTGTGCTTTGGAAAAGTCGGTGGACTCAAGTGTCTTGAACTGAAGCGAAAAAAGAAACAAATACGAGAAAAAGCTGGAATCCACAGGGGTCTTGGTGAGTCTCTTGCATTTTCATCAATGTGGTGGTGGACATTTGTGGGCTTCCTCTTCAAATATATTTCTAAAAAAGTCAGGTAAAAGAATTCAAATTAATTTAGCATCTTTCTTTACCCATCTGTTTAGGTTTAACCTGGGAAACTGATCAAAGATAATGACATAAGGGAACCTCATCAATGTTAGTTAGTAACACAGTGTTTGTCCTATTTCAACTGCACAGAGCATAATTTCTTAAACCATTAGACTCACAAGTGCCCCAAGCCCAATTGCTTCAACACTGATGGTGTTATTGAAACTGAGCAGACAAAAATCTAAACAGGTGTTAAAGTTAATAATTATTCATACAAAAAAAGTGAATGGTTTGATATTTAGAATAGTTACAGCACGCAATAAGCCATTTGGCTGGTTGCATCAATGTCAGCTCTCTGCAAGATCATCTCATCTGTTCCATTCACTTGCTTATTCCCCATAGACTTGCAATTTCTTTCCTTTCCAGATAATTATCTAATTCCCTTTGAAAGCTCTGATTGACTCTGCCTCCACTACACCCTTTGCAGTTCATTCAAAATTCTAAGAAGTCACTGCATTAAAAAATGTCCCCATGATGATAAACCTTTAAAGGGAGGTGAGTTCCTTCCTATCTATGGAGTTGAAATTATTCCTGATAATGCCAACAGATGAGCATTTAAGATTCTCAATTTGTTACTTTAACCCATTTATTTTAGAAACACCTCAGTTAATGACTCCTTTAAGATCATTGTTACGACAATAAGACAAGGGTGTTGTGTAAGAGCCGAAACAACTGCGGATACAGTAAATCAGAAACGAGACCAGAAATTGCTGGAAAAGCTCAGTTCTGGGAAGGGGCACTGGACACAAAACATTAACTCTGATTTCTCTTCACAAATGCTGCCAGACCTGCTGAGCTTTTCCAGCAACTTCTGTTTTTGTCAAGGGTATTGTATGAAAGTCTTCAATGCTCATTTACTGGCATCACTCACGAGTATCTTCTAGTCACATAATCATGAGTAAAGGCAGTCTGAAAAGGTAATTAGGGACTGGAACATTCAGCCATAATGAAGGTTTCAAGTGGAAGAACTGTTAACATGTCTGATTGACACTTCACAAAGTGCAATAAAGGAATTTAAAATAGGCAATTCATTTTAATTAGAAATCAGTCATTGATTTGTTTTGCACAAATTGCATGTAGGAATTAACACTAACTTCTGCAGTGTTTTGTATTAAACAATACTCATTGATTTGTACTTATGTTTGACCATGACAAATGTGTTTAGCTACAGGTTACAGGTCCTAAATACTGATCAATTTTTAATTGTCTGATTCAGTTATTAATAAAACTTTGTTTTTGTTTGCCATTTTAGAACGATTGGCACTGTGACAACCCTTGAATATTTGGCTAAGTTTATGCCTGCAGCACCAGTGCACAATAACATCAGAATCAATAATAATGCTGACTTGGTGATGCAATAAAAATGTACTTTAATATTTCTTCTGTTATAAACTTCTGCCAGGGCAGGGTAATCATACTAATTTGCAGTCACAACCACTGCCAAGTTAAATGTTGTTTTTAAATTGGCACACAGCCTTGGGAACTGCACTGCTGAGAGCCCAATTGAGCTAGCATATCACCACAGTTAGGTCAACAATCTAGAGTATTTAATCAAATAAGCAGTTTACCAGAAAGTCCAGTGTATATATTAAACCTAAAATAGGCTCAACACTATATGCTAGTTACTTGATTTGTTTTCATTCTCTAGTTCTTTTCTTTCTCTGCCCTTCCCTTCCTGGAGACGGTGACTCATACTTATCATTATGCTTCCATAGTTGCTGGCAGCTCTCCAGTACCCAACTTACTTAGGTAAGCCCAGCAACATAGAACAATCAGAAAAATAATAGTGCAGAAGGTGACCATTGTGCATGTATCACGATGCTGATTCCTCAACTGAAGCTGGCTGAACAGTTCCCTTTTATATTCATCCTTTTCAAAAACGTATTCGATTCCGTCATTAAGGATTTTACAATCCCTCCCTCAATAATCATTTGTGGCGAAGCATTGCTTGTATTAATTGCTATTTGCAGAAGATAATTTTACTAAATTGCCTTGTTGTTCTAATGATAGTCTCTGTTACTCATTCAGCAACCAATAGAAATGGTTTTGCAGTATATTGCCCTCTCAAACCATTTCTAAATATTGAAAGTTTCTTTTATTTTCCCCCTCATTGGATCATAGGAACAGGAGTAGGTTATTCAATACAACTGAGGCAGATTGAACCTCAAAGGCATTTATTCACCCTATCCCCGTAACCATGTATGTCACTGGTAATCAAAGGCTGAGCATTTGTAGCTCTCTGAAGTAGAGGATTCCAAATGTTCAGAACTCTCTGAGTAAAAGGTTCACTGCTTAGCTGAGATATAAGTGCCACCCCTCTCACTTTTAAATTGTGCCTCCTGGTTCTAACTCCCCAACCATAGATTCGTACAGTGCAGAAAAAGCCCTTGGCCCATCGAGACTGCACTGACATAAATACCAATAAAAGTGTGCTAATCCCAATTTCCTGCATTTGTCCCATATCCTTGAATATTTGAAGTACTCATCCAAATATTTTTTTTTCTGAAGAAGGGTCATGACCCGAAACGTCAACTTTCCTGCTCCTCTGATGCTACCTGGCCTGCTGTGTTCCTCCAGCTCCACACTGTGTTATCTCTATTTTTCACAGATTGTAAGGTTTCCAGTCTTCATGACCTTCCCACGCGCTGCATTCCAGATTCCTACCACCCACTGAGTGAAAATGTTTCTTTCCAAATCCCCTCTGAATGTCCTGCCCCTTACCCTAAAACAATGCCCTTTTGTGATTGACCCCTCAACCAAGGGGAACAGCTGCTGTCTATTCACCCTGGCCAAATCCTGGTGAACCTCCTCTTAACCCCCTCTAGGTTTATCACATTCTTCCTGTAGTGATGTAATTGGAAGTGCACACAGTGCTCCAGTTGTGGCCTGACCAACACTCAGTACAATTCCAATATTACCTCCTTGCTCTTACACTCTATGCCACAACTGATGAAAGGAAGTGTCCCATATACCAATTCACATGCTGTGATGACTTCAGGGATCTGCAAATAATTCTGTTCCTCTAAGCTACCCAATGTCTTGTCATTCATTAAATACTCCCTCATCTTGTTTATCAGGCCATCTGCCACTGGTCAGCCCATCTGACCAACCCATCTATATCTTCCTGTAACAACCAGGGGAAACATCTTACCTCCATCTGCCCTATGTATCCCTTTAAGGATTTTGAAAGTTTCAGTAAGATCATCCTTCATTCTTTGGAACTGTAGAAGGTATAGGCCCAGACTGCCCACTGTCTCTTCATAGGATAGTCCCACCGTCTCAGGACAAAAACAGAAAGTACTGACAAAGTTCTAAAGAAGGGTCACTAGACTTGAAACATTAACTTTCTTCTTCTTTTCACAGATGCTAGCAGACCTGCTGAGTTTCTCTAGCACTTTCTGATTTTGTTTTAGATCCCCAGCATCCGTATTTCTTTGTTTTATTTTACCGAGTCTGGTGAACCCTGTTCCTCTCCTTCTATGGCAATGATATCTTCTTTGAGATAACAAGATAAAAACTGCACAAAGTACTCCAGGTGCAGTCTAACCAAGTTCCTATGCAATTGAGATAAGACTTCACTACTCCTGTACTCAAATCCCCTTAAGTATGTTAGACTTCCTAATACCTTTCTCCACCTGCATGTTGGCCTGCGGTGACTCTCTGTTTCTAGAAGAAATGGCTCATTTTTTGAACCTTTCTTCATCCTGATATGATTCCCATGAATCTTCACTCTGTTTTCTCATAGATTCAGTATCCTTCCCATACTGGGATGCAAAGAGCTGGTTTCAGTGATCATGCTATGATCTCACATAAATTCACTTCTTGCTTGTGTCTAAAATGATTTCCTGTCAAAAACTCATAGCATCAGTGTCAGCAGACAGACTAACATTGAGAACATCATGACAGAGTCAGATCCTGACTTCGTTCAACTTTTTCATGCACACTTTCCAATAGGAGTAATTGGAAGTGAAGTCCTGATGGAATATTTCCCTCTTCCCAGCAGCATCAGTGCCATTCGTGGCTGACATAACACTGTACTTAGTGATAGAGTCATACAGCATGGAAACAGACCCTTTGGTTCAACCAGTCCATGCCGAACATAGTCTAAACTAAACTAGTTCCACCTGCTTACTCCTGGCCCATGTTCCTCCAAACCTTTCCTATTCATGTACTTATGCTGACTGTGGAAAAAGGTAAATTTTTTGTTTTCAAGGACGTATGGGGCCTGGTGTTTTGAGAGTCCTTAAAGGCACTGTCGGATGTATGGAAAATGCTGGTGTGTTTCCCGTCGATCCTCTGAAAGCCCCATTAGAGAATGGCACACAATGCCAAAGAAAACATAAACTGTGAATATATGCACGATCGCTTTTTCCTGACACTTTATCAACAGCATGAAAATACACTGAGATTGTTGGAGTGTTTGCACTGCCATGGTGACTTAGTTAATAGAATATATCAACGTAGGACATTCTTGCTTAAATTAAGGAGTATAACACTGCTGCTTAAAGTGGGACGCATTATAATTTTAATTTAAGAACAACATACTTAAACTTGAAATCCCTTGTTGACAATTTATTGAAAATGTGTTTGCTTTCTATACTAACAACCCACAAATGCAGGATGTAAAATCTGAAACATTTTTATTAGATGTTCGGAGCAGAACACTTGATTTTCGTTGGTTGAGAACAATCGCAGGAAAAGGAAGCAAGAAACAAAAAAGTAGCAACACTGCTTATGCAATTCAACCTTTTCTCAATAAACTGCTACTTAAATCTTCTTTTGACATGCTTTGTTCCTGCTCTGAGTGCCCTGGTCCGTTTTCAGCGCTGGTGTTCCATTTCCTGTCCAATCTTCCAAGGAATAATAAG